TTCTTCTTCTTCTTCTTCTTCTTCTTCTTCTTCGTCGTCGTCGTCGTCGTCGTCGTCGTCGTCGTCGTCGTCATCGTCGTGGCGTGACCAGCAACAAGTTCAATGCACGTGAACGACACCGCTAACGTCATGGAGTGTGACATCATAATTCTTGTGTCATCTTCGCAAATCCCCTACACACGCAGTTATACCCACACCCTGACAAAGCTATTTAGATGGATGGAATGTTTATTGGTGATAAGGGAAAGTGTTTTTGTTGAGTTGAAAATAATACGAGAGCATAGAACAGAAAAAAAATCCAAAAGTACAAAAAGCCAAGATAGGTGTCCGTAGGAAAGAAGAAAAAAATGATTGAAAGATCAAAACAGCTCGACGTGAAAGCGACGCCTAGGCACCCAAGGCAGAGCAGTCAGTTCCAGGGGTGCCCCCTGGTACCTTCTATTCCTTTTAATGTGGATTATACAGTAACCGCCCAGATAAAAGCCCAGATAGAGAAGAATTGTGGGCGTTGCAGGGCTAAGGAGAAACCGCGAGCGATCGCTAGACGGATATATTCCAGCGTATCGGCGACCCCTGTCGCCTGTATCAAGGCAGCTGTCAGTTTGCACCTAGCACTCGCTTACCCTTTAAAGTACCCGTGTACTCGTTCTATGCGTCATAGTGCAGTGTATAGCTTCAGTATTGGTACTTCTTGTTGGCTGTGTTGTTTGTTTTTGCGTAGTTGGAGCGCGCCTATGATTGATCCCAACTTCTTTTCTCTCACTGCCTGTCTGTCTGTCAGGCGAGTGACGAGGATGCTGAGAATGGGGGAGTGTATATATTTAAAAAGAAGAGTCATGGATGGGAGGGAAGTGCGAAAGAAAACCTCTCACGATATTCCTAGAAACTCCGAAATGGACGACGATAGCCCCTGATGTACTGCTGAGTGTAGGAGTGCTGTAGCACTTCAGCTGCGTTTATTGTTTTAAGCGGGACTCTATGGTTCTGGGCTGACCGCTAGGACCACCTAGGTAGCTTAAGCAGTAGTCTCCTCGCACGTGTTTTGTCTCGGAGAGAAGTCGAGATGTAGTTTTGGACGAGGTGGCATGATGACGTCCAACTTTCAACAAGGGATAGATAAGGGCAGTTGTGATTTTCGAAAGAAGCAGAAATAGCCGGGGGTACCCAATGACCGTTGATGTGTCGATGTGCGTTTCCTCACTCTGCCGGGCTACGCGTAGTTCGGGCGATTATGACAGGTCATCTCCAAAATTTAGTCCTGAACATATTTCTGTTGTTACGAAATGAGAAACTTTCAAAAGTGAAAGTACAGATAAAGTTTTGTCTCAAACCAAGTAGCCAAACATGAGTACATATCTGCTCCGAGTAGGACAAGAAATAACCCCCTTCGCTTGCTTCCAAAACTGTTGGGTTTTTTTAATAGGTAGATGATACTGTGCAAATAAAGAATTAGAATCACTGTATTTCAAGGGTAATAAATCGATAGTTTAGGGGTAGGAGAACCTGGCGCGAATTGATCCCATCGAAAGACAGGCTGGCCTGCACGCGCGCCCTCTATCCGCCATTTTCCATCATTACCAGATTGCCCCCCCCCCCCTTTCCCCCAACCCCGCGTCCAAATCTCCTTCCCAGGAGCCCCGAATCTGAACGGAAGTCTTCCGAACCATGCGCATGAGCGAGGAGGTCACAACATCCCAGGAGCTCGAACGAGCGCGTAAATCACGACCACTTTCTCACGTGCTGAGCAGTTTGATTGCGCCGTAAAATCCACGCGCTTCTCGCTGGCCCGAGCGAGGCCTCGGTACCACGACTGATTTGGGATTTTTTACAGGGTGATCGACCTAGAAAGCAAGAGGCAGAAGGAAAAAAGGGAGCAGAAAAGTGTGGGTGGGGTGGGGGGGTGGCTACTAGCCCAGACGTGAAGTTAAAAATGGAGCAACCGATTCTTCTTCAGAATAACACCTCTAATCCTCGGCACGTATATGACCTTATTGTGTTGCAAGTGCCGTAAATCTCTTAATAAAACTTTAAAAAGCATCCACCACAAAACATCCCCCCCCCCAAAAAAAAAAAAAACAATTAAACAAAAAACAAGAAACATTAAAAATAAACAAACAAACGAACAAAAAAAAAAAAAAAAAAAAAAAACCTCCTTTTCTTCGTGCTCCCCTGGTGTGGTCCGCATGGAATTATCTCACGCTTTTTATGTTGCCACCAGCTCCCCCATCTTCTGTTTGTCTTAGCTACCCGAGTTTTTCCGCCCGTCTTTACCGCCCATCTCCGCCAGACGCCAAGCTGGGGAGTGTTGGTGGCGCAGTTGTCTTGGAATAACAGTAGCGGATGTTTTCATAATATTTCCTGGAAGGCAACATTGTGGTTACGCAGCATCGATTTCAAAGGAACGGCTTCTCGTGCAGTTGTATTTTTGTCTCGTCTGTCTGTTTTGTTCTTTCTTCCACCCATCCACACATCCATCCACCCATCCCTCCATCCATCCCTCCATCCATCCATCCATCCATCCATCCATCCATCCATCCATCCATCCATCCATCCACCCATCCATGACCAAATCTGAGTCGACAGTGCCGTAAAAGACCAGTTCAAATAAACAAACAAACCACCCATCCATCCATCCACCCATCCAACCATCCATCACCATATCAAACGGTTTAATTAAATTAGCACCCAGCCCTAATTGTTCACCCATTTGTGTGTCTTCCTCAGCTGTGTGCCTGCCCGGCTGTGATCCTGACAATGGCTACTGTGACGAACCCAACGAGTGCAAGTAAGTTTATGGTCGATGATATAACTGTTTTCCTTTAAAATGGGATCCATCAAACCCCCCTTTCTCATCCAGAGCTGTCATTCTTTCTTCTTCTCACCCCTCCCCCGTCTCTTTCTTTGCTTGTCTGCCTGTCTGTCTAGTCTGGTCTGTCTGTCTCTCTCTGTCTGCCTGTCTGTCTAGTCTGGTCTGTCTGTCTCTCTCTGTCTGTCTGTCTGTCTGTCTTCTCTCTCTCTCTCTCTCTCTCTCTCTTGGTAGTGTTTTATTCTCCTATCCATGCTGTCAAACTGCTTTTTAAATCGCCCTTCCGCAATTTTTTCCTTTTCCCACATTTTTATGATTCCTCTTTACTCTCTTTTCATTTTTATACTTTTCAAGTTCTCTGTCCCATCAAAGAAAAATGGAAGGAAGGGGTTAAAAACGCCATAAAAACCGAAGGCGTTCCGCCTAGCGTAGCGTAAATGGCAAGTGATGTTTTGACTTTCACAAGCTTCGTCTCGTTCAGAATGTTGCCCTTCTCGATTGCATTTCTCTGCTCACTTTGGCATTTTCGCAGTGCATTATTTTTACATGTCCTGCCGGTCGAACCCGCAAACAAGGGCGACCTGGACATCAGAGTCCTGTCTGGAAACAAAACTTTGAAAGCAGTTAAGAGAGTGGAGAGAGAGAGAGGGGGGGGGGGGGGGGGAAAA